TCCCATCTTCTATGGACCCAGTTGGGTGGGGTTTAGTTCCACACTAATGACTCCCTCTTAACCTGGCTATGGCTATACAGACTATTTCCAAATAAAGTGGCCTTCACAGCTACTGGGGGTTAGGACCTCAATGTATCATTTTGGAGGACACAGCTCAATCTGTAATAGATACCTGAGGAATCTTTTTAAAGAAGTGTTAGAAACTTAACCTTGGAGGGTAATGCAAAAGGAAAGACTCTGGCTAGATGGATTTGACTTGCTCTTGTGATTCTAACTTCAGAAAGAAATTTGAACTGTGGCCAATCCTTATTCACTTTACACAACGTTGAAAAGAAATGGAATCAGCTTTGGTCTGAAATAAATTTAATGCAGATTCATACAAAGTTAGAAATCCAGAAGTCATCGTATCCTTCCTCTTCCTCCTGATTCCCAACATCTGATTAATCTGTTTGTAGGTCCTTGGCCTGGAAGGAAGGAAGGAAAGTTGGGGAGAGGAAGGGAAAGGAGAGGAGAGGAGAGAAATATACATTAAAACAATATACACAGATGAAATAGCAGTTGAGTGCAAGAAAGAAAAATACACCAGTGAACTAGGACTCTGAGGTTCAGAGAGAGGTGCTACAATGAAGCAGAGAGGACTGCAGCTTCTAAAAGGTCAGTGAAGGCAAGTCTGAGAAACAAATTTCATGAAAAGTGCCACTTCGGTGTGGCAGCCACCAGCTCTGTGTGGCCACTGAGTGCATGAAACACAGCAAGGTACCAATGACCTGGTACCAAAAAGGAAGAGTGCAAAATGTTTTATATGGATTGCATATTGAAAAGATAAACTTTTAAATCATGTATTTTATATATTGGGTTATATAACATTTATTAACTTATAAAGTATATTAGTAATTTTACCTTTTTATGTGGTTACTAGAAAAATTTTAATTGCATGCACAGCTCACATTATATTCCTGTTGAAAAGCACAGGTGCAGAGGGAGTGAACACACAAGCAAACTCAGGATATACAGATGATGAGATGTTATGGCATCACGGTGGAGAAACTGGCTCGTTTGTGGGTGTTACAGGGTGCTGCTCACTGGGAGAGTGCGGCACTCAGGAAAGGTCTCTCAGGCAGGAAGTAGAGATGCAGGAGCTCAGGAGGCCAGTGAGGGATGGAGGGGCAGGACTTTTCTGAGAAAGCCTAATCAAGACCCTCAGAGGAGAAAGACTTGGCGTGTTGGAGGAAAAGAAGAGAATCCAGTGACTGAGAGAGGGGTACTGGGAAGGATCCTTGCAAATGACTGGTGTGTCTGCCTCCCACCACAAGCCAGGATTCCCCCAAGAGCACAGCATCTCTCATTATTTGATACATTGGTTGCGCCTAACATACTTTCTGCAGAATGCCTACTAATGAGGGAAAGTCTAGCACATTATTGATAAGCCAAAATGTAAAAATCATTTTAAATTATTACTTATAAAACATTTTCATTAATGCGTGCCAATTTTGTGAACTTCTGGAAGTGTCTGGAGGAAAAAATTGAGAATTATACTACATACTCCATCCCATTGACTTTCCTACTCACCAGCTGCCTGATATTAGGATGCCATGGAGCTTCTCTGGATCTCGATTCTGAATCTGTAGATTAAAGGACTTAGTGTAAATGACTTCTGTCTTCCAGGCCTACTATTCTACCTGCACACCATCCATCTTCCACTCCTTTCTGGGAACACAAGTGAGCTCACAACATCCAAGGAATCAGGCTCCACAGATTTCAAAAGCCTGGGTGATGGCAAAAGTTCATCAGTTCTTGGGCTACAGGTGGAGCCCTATAGAAAGGAGGGCGAGAGGAAAGGCGTCTCCCAACAGGTGCTTCCTAGTGGAAGGAGGCCCTTGCTAGCCATAGGGCTGGGTAGTTCTTACTTTTGTTTTTTGTTTTGGTACCAGGAATCAAACTCAAGACCTTTTGTTTGCCAGGCAGGTGCAGTGCCACTGAGCTATATCCCTGGCCCTGTGTAATTCTTTAATCACATGGAGCTATCCCAGACAGTGCAAGAGATTTATTACCCCTGGGCTGGGTTGATCCTCACTCTGCCAGACATCATGGCCCCCAAATGCTCCTGTGCACATTGCCAAAGCCCTCATAGTAGCAGCACTATGCCTCTAAGAACCACCAAAACCCAAGAGATATAAATAAATATGCCTAGATTAGTGGAGGAAACCATTACTCAGCACCTGTTATAATTTATAATTGTTAGGCATTTCTAATGCTACAAGGAAACTACCCTCCGCCTCCTCCTGGATTCTCTTCTCCCCTTCTCTCCCAGACATTCTCCTGCACCCTTAGTCTCCAACCTGGCATCCTCTGGGAGATGGCCTGAGTTCACATGAATGCCCTGTCCTTCCCCCAGGCTGTGGTTACTGCCAGCCACCATTCTGAGAAGCCAGGGTCTGGGGAAGGGGAGAGGAGGAGGAGATGACCCAGGGACAGTTCCACTCTGGTCAAATCAAAACTCAGCGAGGGGCAATCTGAATAATGACAGATGTCCACAGTGGTGATGAGGTACAACATTAAAATCACATCTGCTTCCTACTTGGGCTCTCAGCTTTCCACCTCACCTCCCTGGAACCATAAACTCTATTTCTTTAGTCATTTCCTGCACTCAGTAAGTCACCAGGCTTATCTCCTCAGTGAGGGGCTGCACCTTCCATGCCCTGCTCCTCCAGCTGACCTTTGAGCCTGCAGAGCAGGAACAGGGAGGGCCTAGGAGCCTCCCTCACCAATCCCTGATCAGAGTCCCTCCTTCCTAAAGCCAGTACAGGGCAGGGCAGGAAGGGTGCAGCCTTGAGATGTCCAGGGAGCACAAGGAAAGCAAAACATACCAGCAAGTGGCCAAGCAGTGGGCGTTGACTCTCATCTTCACACCTCCTCTGTGTCCCACTGTGTGGTCCTGGAGGAGAGAGGTTTTGCTCTGGGTGTTCATGTGCATCCCAGCTCCTAAAGGGCTCTTGTTTCTGCCATCTTCGATTTCCTCCAATTCGAAACACTCATCTCCATTTTGACCCTTAGTACAAGCTAGTAACATCCAACCTGGAGCACCCTCTTTTCAAGTGACAACTTCTTGTCCTTTAATTCCTACTTTAAATGTTGCCACTTTGAAGAGCCCTTTTCTCGTATAAAGGAAATCATACACACACACACACACAACACACACAGACACACACATGCTCATCTTCATAGTTCTCATAGCCCATATAGCCATATAGCATTTATTATTTGCATGTTTCTAATATAAAATTTTAACTTAAAGTTCCACGAAGAGAAAGATCCATTTCGTCTCAGCACTGTTAAAGTGCCAGCTATTATTGTATCCAAGGCCCTCAATAGATAAAAGCTTCTAAAAGAGTGAATATATACAATCAGGACTTATTAACCTATATGGAATTTTAATTCTATATTATAAGTGAATTAGCATAAAATAAAGGTGGTGTCTTAAACCAGCAGAGGAAAAATGAATTATTTAATAATTATCTAAGACTGAGTAACCAAATTAAGACAAACCCCTTTCTCCCTTAATCTATATCAAAGTCAATTCCAAATGGATCAAAAACATAAACCTTGAAGAGTGTAGCCATTAAAAGAACTTGAAGATGTACAAGAAGATTTACATATCTTAATACAGAAAATGTTTCTCTGAGCAAGTGAAACAAGACTGATTTATCTGAATGCATAAAACTAATACTTCCTCAACATGCCTACACCCAAAACATAAGTGGAGACAAAGGAAAACAAAAATCTGGGAAGAAATAATTTTTATACTTAACAAAGGCTTAGATTTTACTGTAAAGTATTTTACAAATAAAAATGAAACGACTAATAATTCAAAAGGAAAACTAGGAACGTAATTAAGCAAACCACAGAAAATTTCATAAAAATGACTTAATATACACCGTGCTAAAACTCTCAAAATGAAAGGAAGATAAATTAACCAACGAAATAACCATTTTTCATCTCTGACACTGGAGAAAGGAGAAGTTTGATCATATTAGTGTTGGAAATGAACATTGGCATATTATCTCAGGGCCAGCTGATCTTCAAGAGCGGTGAGCATTTTTATGACTATGTGGAGAATAACTTGGCAACACTATCAGAATTTCAACTGCATGCACTGTTTTGGTCAGCAATTACATTTGAGTCAGAAAACATAAGGAAAGATACATACAGAATAACCATGCAAAAGATAAAAAACAATCTAGATGAATTGTAGCGGTAGACAGGTGGGACTAGGCTTCCGTCACACTCATAATGACTCTTGCGCAACCTCTGAAAAAGAAATGTGCCAGCATCAGGCACCTCTGGAGTACAGAAAACATGCAAGGGATGGACCGAAGGCACTGTACAATCGCATCTGTTTAGGAAAAGCAGACCAGAGGTAAGTAGGTAGGGAAGGGAAGGGAAGGAAGGAAGGAAGGAAGGAAGGAAGGAAGGAAGGAAGGAGGGAGGGAGGGAAGGCAGGCAGGCAGGCAGACATAGCTAAGAAACATAGACCATTTCTGAAACAGTTAAAAAAAAGCAGGGAAAGGGCCTAGAAGTCACTAGGTCTACTTTTCATGATACCTTTTTGTATAACTAGAAACAGATTTACCAGTTGCATGTATTTTTTAATTTAAAAACTAGATTCTAAAAATGAAGACTACAAAAAAAATAGTAAGAATAGTAAAAATAGTAAGAGTCTTTTCAAAGTGTTTGGATAATGCTTTTATTATTGAAGGGTAGCAAATTTTGAACACCCACAGTATAAAAGAATAACTCAACACTCCAGAAGTTAGGTAGGTTTAACCTTATAGTTGTGAATAACAAAGTTTCTTTATTAGTATTTTAGTTTTAAAGCTGGCCACTAGGCAAGCTCTGGCAGCTGAGGCTCATTTGTAGTTATCACCTCTCCCTACCCATCCCCAACAATGTATTCAAATCCAATGCCAAAAGTTACTTATTAAACACAAGAGATACTGTGCCCTGGAAAACCACTATAAACCTTGTCTTTGGGAGGACGAGTTTCTTAATGAAACACAGAACCACCATCTCAGAAAAAAGAAAATGGGCAATCATCACGTAAGTATCCATGGCCTTCGGGAATCTGTTTTAATTTTGGTTAGCCTGTGGGAGAATTTAAACTATGAAGTCGTGACTGATGCCTTCAGACTTTTTCATTCTGATTACCCTTTATTGTTGGTTTTAGCAACAGCATACCAGACTTATAAAGTGCATTTGGAATGTTTCTGCCCTCATAGCCCAAAAATCTCTTAGAAGAGTCTAAAGAAAAGTTTAAAGTGAGCCAGGAAACAGTGCCTTGCAGAAGGCAGGGAGTCAATGTGATTTATGGAATGAATAACCTGCTAGTTTGCGGCAAAATTGTACAAAATTCATAATTACACCCCTGTCGAGTTTTATGGGAAAGATAGGTCCATGTTGCAAGTATCAGTGGTCCAAGGTAGGAAGACTCCTGCCAGGACATAAGATTTGGGTTGAAAGCTCAAACTATTTCTGTATTAGTTCTAAACAGCATCAAATGTCCCAATATTTGCAAATGTCCATGGGAAAAACTGAACCTTTTCCTTTAGTACAAGTGAAAACTGAACTCAGATTCCCACAAATGCACGCACATTTCCTTCAGAGGAGCGTTATTTTTTAGATATCTGTAAATAGCATTTTCATGATAGCCAACATTATGAGCTCTTCTGATAAAATGAAAACTACTTTGCAAATAATTCTGAAGGACGCAGAGAATGCTGGAGTAATCCCTGCCCCTGTGTTAGCAGCTTGAGAGAACAGTCTTTCCTTTGAAATCCAAGCCCTGGGGCCACTGGGCTCTGAGAGTGGCCCAGCGTTTTTATATATTTCATTACTGAACCCCCAGGGCCAGTCTTCCAGCCAGCAGTGGCCCAACAGACTTGACTGCACTCTCAACTGCCTGACCCTAGCCCCCCATCAGCCTCCAGTCTGAGAACTCCTTCACCGTGCAGGACTTCCAAGCAGGGAAATTGTGCCCTGGAAAACTTTGTTACTATATTTGCAACTGAGAGCTAGGCATGGTGGTGCACACATGTGTCCCAGCACTCAGGAGGCTGAGGCAGGATTGACTCAAGTTCAGGGCCAGCATGGATTACAAAAAACAAACAAAAATATTTGCAGCTAATGTAAAAATGCAGCCATCTAGGATCTCAGTTTATGTTCCCACAACATCCCATTAACATCCACCTGAACAGGCGCATGAGGCCATACTTCACCCCTCTGACACTTCAGACAGTAGTAAGGCGATTGAACACGATTGTGAGGAATGAATACTCTCTAAGCAGATGCAAAACCTCTTTAAAGGACAAAAACTTGCCCCCATAGTGGCTTAAATTAATCACATTAGAGTTACTTGAGTGTGTACAAACAAAAGTGTGCTAGTTTTGAAATAACTACAGAGCAGAATTACAAACCAAATGCTGGTGAAATGCAAGTCCTTGATGTCAAATGCATATTACTGGTTTTATGTAATGGATGATAGTGTTTTATTTAAGTAGATGGCTGCATTCCATGGAAAATAGCCCTGATTCCTATCATTTGTTTTGAGTTCAGCAAGTCTAAATTTTGATGCAGTCCAAACTTGTAGTTCTATAATGCTTTCCCTATTCTACTTACTGAGAAACCTTTGATTATAGCACTTCCTATAATGCCATTGGGTCTTCTCTTGGCTCAAGTGTGATCTTCATATGAAGCCTCCCTCTTTACTCTGTTCTTTTACTCCTGTGATGATGAAATGAAATTTAGCATGTGTAAGATCATAAACACAAACACAAAAGCAGGCACTGAAGTCATGTGCCAGCACTTGGGGACCCTGGTGAATTAGCATGCTTTATATTAATTTTTAAGTCATTATGAGCATTAAATACACTATTTTAAAAGGCTCCTAGGAAAGTTTTTAAATCCCCAAGAATATGTCCACAGACGAAGATTCATAGGTAACTATCTGGCAAGTACATTGAGCAGGAAATATGTTTTCCAAGGTTCTGTGATCCAGACTCTGAGACAATTATGAAACTTGAAACTGAAAGTTACCTCTGCTTAGTGCTCCCCCCTCCCTTTTTTTGCATCATTAATGATTTTTTTTTAGCTGAGGACTTGCTGATGGTGATGATCTTCGAGCAGTAACAGCTAAGAAGCTAGGTTATTGACACCCTGTGGGCTACTGACCTGCTAAATCCCTCATGCTGCGGTGTTTGATTCACCTGCAGGAAACATCCTTGGGCTCAGTAAGCTTCGCTGAGGAAAAATTAAGGTCCACAGAAAAAAATGTGTTTGGCCCTTCAGTCCCATGTTATTGTGAGGGCTGTTTTCAAGACAATTGTCATCCAGAAGAAAATAAAGAATAGGGCTTACCTTACCGTGGGAGTGTGGCTATAGAATATGGGCAGAACAGGAAGGAGCAAGACTTCAGGGAGCTGCTGAACATACTGAAATAGTCACAAACTCAAAAGGGCCAATGATTGCTGTGAAATCATTTGCAAGGCTGGTAAAGAGGCTCCAGAGAGGATTACAGTTTTGCTACCCAATGTGCACTCCCTGGACTAGCAGCAGCTCCACACTGCCAGGGCACTTGTTAGAAATACAGATCCACGCAGACCTACAGATCACAATCTGTGTTGTAATAAGATCTGTAAGTGAGTCTCATGCACCTTAGAACCTTGTAACCATTGAATGAAGAACGAGATCTCAAACCTGGCTGCACATTGGGTTTGCCTGGGGAGTTTTGAAAGCCTCTGATGCCCCTATGCCACCTCCGAGAGTCCAGATTAATTGGTCTAGTGGCTGTTCTGGGCATCTGGACTTGCACATGCTCTCCAGGGGATCCTCACCTGCAGCAGAGTTTGAGAAGCGCTGCACTGCAGCACCCACTGACCTTCCACCACTGTTGTGCACACTGTTGGTGGAGGCAGATGCCACTGTGTGTGCCCATGAGTGTGACTGTTACCACAGCTGTTCAGAGCATACCCGCTAATGACTTAATTGTGCCAACATTTCGCCAACATAAATATTGTCTACAATGGAGAATGGTTGGGGACAATAGCAGGTGAGCAGCGGGTGAGCTTAGGTGACAGTGGGAGCTGCCTGACAGGTGGAGAATAGGCCCAGATTCCTGGGAAAAGAAGGGATCTCTGGAGACAGGTAAAAATGTGGCAAGGAGTATAGAAGAAAAGCGAGTATGGCTTTAACCACGAGTGTGTCATATCTACACTGTGATCCCAACCCCCCAAATACCCCAGTGAGCCCAAGCAGAAACTAGTCTAGACCATAACATCCCACCTTCCTTATCAGGAAATCTTTTATCACAGAATATCAGGTGGTCAGAATGCCATCACGAGTGCAAGAGGGAACAAAGAGGACTTCTGGTGTCAAAATACGACATGCCCCAAAGTATACCTCCTTCGTTTAACACGAGTCCCCATTCAAAGTCCAGCTGCATTTCAGATGCAGTGACTCAATCTTGGCTTTTTTGATGTCTTGTCAGTGGTGCATGCTGGCGTCCCTGCTGTCAGCACAGAGGCAAGAACCCAAACTCCCAGTGCTAGTGGATGCAAGTGGGGGGCTTCCTGAAATGCTGATGCTAAGTGACATCTGTCAGGTCAGCCCGAGGCATGATTGAGACCACTAAGGCAGGCAAAATCTAAGAAACATGCGATGAGTTTATTGCCATCTGGGGAGCCAAGGGCAAGAAGGCTGCTGGTACAGAGAGAGGGCTGCTCATGGTTGATAATGGGGCAGTTTAAGCAAGGGAAGGGGGCACTGGGTGAGAGGGTGGAAGATTTTAGAGTCCCACAGGTGATGGGCCTGGGGCTGGCTGATAAACAGGGCTGTGGTGAGAGCAGCAGGGTGCTGCTGGTTTCTTATTATCTCTATGCTCCTGTGGATGTGGGTAGTGAGGCTGCCTTTGTGGGGGTCCGACTCAGGGGACCTGTTAACATCCGTCGAGTGCTCAGTGGGCTGGGAACTGTTAGGGCATGAACCTTTGTGGTACACAAGGTTTGGACTTTTCACTCTACTAGGTCTGCACACAGACATACGTCACTTACTCCTCAGTATTGCTAGGAGAGCAATACAGGTGGTCTTCCCCTTTTAGATATGGAGAAAATGAGGCAAAGAAAGACTAAGTAACTTGAACATCTAGTAAGAGATAATGCATGGGGCTGGGAATTTAGCTCAGTGGTTCTGCTGCCTGCCTCAAAAGCTCAAGATCCCAAGTTCTATCACCAGTACCCAAAACAAAACAAAAATAAAGATAACGCATGAATTTGGACTTTGTAGAATTTCTTTTCTTTTTTTTCTTTCTTTTTTTTTTTTTTTTTGGTGACAGGGTCTCTCTATGTAGTTGAGACTGACCTGGAACTCACTATGTAGCCCAGGCTGGTCTCAAACTTGCAACGATCCTCCTGCGTCAGCCTCCCATGAGTGCTGGGATTACAGGTGTGCACTACCATGCCCGGCCAAAATTTTCTTCTGGTCCCTTTTATTTTTTATTATTTTTATTTTTTGGTACTGGGAATTGAACTCAGTTCCTTGCACTTGCAAGGCAGACAGAAGAACCACTGAGCTAAATCCCCGGCCCTGGACTTTGTAGAATTTCTTCACACTGTGTCTTGGGTTCACTAAGACTCATATGGAAATAACTAGAAGCTTACCTATTGGATGAAGGGGTCACTGCCTTGTCATCTCATCTTACCCCCTTCCCTGAGCCTCTCCCCCCTGCCCTAGCATATGACTCCCTGCAAAACTGTTACTCCTTGAGCAGTTTTCAGACCACCTCTCTTGTGTCTGCCCCCACCCCACAGTGATGGTCCCCTGACAGTAAGACTGTGACTTGTTCTCCTATGTGTCCCCGCCACCAGCACAATTCCTAGAGCAAAGCCAATGTTCAATAAAGCTTGATGAATCCATCAGTTCATCACGTTTTCTAACTAAATCAACTAAGTGATGTTTTGTTTAGTTGGCATCCAAATCTCACCACCCAGTCAAATTTCTAGACCACTCATGGGTGAGGCCCCAGCATCTGTACTTTTCTTAACTCATTA